TCCCTGGAGAGAGGAAGGGACAGCTGGGGCCCCTGCCTGATGCAGCAGAGGTGAGGCCTCTGTCAGGGGTCAAAGGTGACAGGAAGTGCATCCAGCACACTGCGGTTCAGAAGCCCCATCCGGCTCTCCCTGTGAGATCCCACTCTGCACTACTGTGTGAGCTCAAGAGGGGCTTACAGCCCCGGGCTCTGGCAGCCACAGACTCTGGCTGAGACGTGAGGGCTGTGCCCTGGGGCTAAACACAGAGCTTCATAAGTCAGGCTGGAGAGGAGGAGCAGGGGCAGGTAGGTGGGGGCAGGAGGCCTAGGCTGAACCCCAGACAGTGGGGAGGAAGAGAGGCTGCTGGTGGCCATTGCTTTTCCTGGAGGGCTGGGTGGGGCTGGGGGCTGGGGCCCTCCATCCACCCTCCACCCAAGCCCACTCAGGAACAGAAGCTCAGGTGGCCCTGCCAGCAGGGGGATATTCCCATGACGTGGTCCTGACATGCAGAGGACCGCCCTCACCCACCTCACACCCCAGACCCAGTGGGACCCACAGGACTAAGTATGAGAAGCCATCGAGGTGGACCAGGAGGGCCTGCATCCCCAGGGTCATCAGGGCCACCTCTGGGGCAGGGTCAACTGCCCATCACCACCTGTGGGCAGAGGGAGACCCCGCCCAAGACCTCCTCCAGTGGCCTCCTCCCCCATCCTCCCTGTTTCCCACCTAACCTCCTCTCCTCTCCTCTGCCCCTCCAGCGGGGCCACTGTGGAAGACACTGTAAGTTCTGCCTCCACGCCTGCCAGGAGTCCGAGTGGGACGTCCCCGCAACGTGGTCCTGATGTGCAGAGGCTGCCAGGGGCCCTGTGCCACCCCCAAGGCTGGGGTCCATGCCATAGCCCAGTAGGGGTTCCTGCCTGCCCTGGGCTGCACCTCTCTGGCTTTTCCCTCCATGCACCCTCACCTGCCGCTGTGGCCAGTGCCTGCCGCTCACCCACCCACACACAGATCCCACCCTGAGCTCAGCCATCAGCTTCCTGCCTTCCAGGGACTGCAGGGTCCCGGGCCTCTGGTTCCCAGGCCTCTGCTGGGTGGTGGGTTGTGGGGGCCGGTCAGCCAAAGACACTACCCTGCAGATGAGAAGCCAAACACAGACCCTGACAGAAGGCAGGCCCTGCGGGCACAGTCTCCACAGGAACACACAGCAGTGGTGCAGACCCTGCCTTCTCCTGTTCCTGCAGAAAGCAGCGTCCGCTGCTTCCTCCGCTTCCTGTTTTTCTGATTAGGATGTAAAGAGTTTCTTCACTGTCATACAGCTGCAAAGTATGCCCGCATCGTTATTTTTAGTCTCCTAATATTGTGAAATTGTTACATCGTTTCTAACATTTTAACAATCTCAGTGTGAAGGAGATTAATTCTAAAGGGATAAAATAAATGATAGCAACAATGTGTTCCTTGCTCTTGCATTTTTCCAAGAGGGGGACCCAGTACAGCCACCGGGGGAAGTTAAAGTCAAGCCTTGAATCCCTCCACCAGGCCAAGGGCACCAAGCTAGGGGTGCGGTCAGGAGGCCCTTCATGGAGAAGGGTCTCTGGAAAGGATGGTGCCCAGGCCCTGCTCAAGAAATCGAAGACAGACAGCAGCAGGAGGCAGCGGGGTGGGAGCTTGGAGGACTGTCTGAAGCTGTGTTGAGCGGAGCCAGACGGAGGTCAGTCACTCTCACAAGTGAGGGGCAAGAGGGACCCCTTTGGAAGAGCCAGGGAAGGGAGACTCTCCAGGGTTACACTGGTGGGGCTGAGGGTGTCTAAGGACTAGCAAATTGAGCATGGAGGGTTCCAGGTGTGGAGAATCGCAGAGGAGAGCTGGGAGGCCAGGGAGGGTACCCAAGTGAACCACATGTGAACGAGTTGATGAAGGAGCTTCTGGAGCCAGGGTGTGTTTCCCTCATGGGTTCTAGGGGTGCATGGGAACTGCAGGACCCATGGGAGCTCCTTCCTCTGGCCCACCCACCCACAGCTACCTCTGAGTGCTAGATTCCAGGAAAGAAAAAAGGCTTGTGCCTCAGTGTGCATGGTGGGCAGCCTGCCCAGCCTAGCACTGTGGGGTCATCAGATTCAGAGAGTGCCAGGCACAGTGGCTCATGCCTATAATCCCAACGCTCTGGAAGACCAAGGCGGGTGGATCACCTGAGATTGGGTGCTCAAGACCAGCCTAGCCAACATGGGGAAACCCTGTCTCTACTAAAAATACAAAAATTAGCTGGGCATGGTGGCGCAAACCTGTAATCCCAGCTACTCAGGAGGCTGAAGCAGGAGAATCGCTTGAACCCAGGAGGCGGAGGTTACAGGGAGCAAAGACTGCATCACTGCAATCCAGCCTGAGTGACAGAGCAAGACTCTGTCTCAACAACAACAAAAAGAGAGAAGCAGAGTAACCCCAGGAGAGGCCCCTCACTGCCCACCCAGGGGAGGAAGGTCTGGACTCTGCTCTGAAAAACAAGCCCCTCCCTCTGCCAGACTCAGTTTCAGTGAGACAGGAGAGGGTTGGCTACAGAGAGGGCGAGAAGGAGCCCAGGGCAGGGAAAGCAGTAGCAAGGGCCAGCACGTCTGCAGCCCACATCCGCCCCAAAAGGTCCTGCGCTGCTGGTATGGACGCCGGACACTTGCCCCTCAGTCGGAAACATTTCCCACCCTTCCTTATAGAAAAACTCTGCTCACTCAGGCCCAGCCACAAGGGCCTCCTCCCTCCAGATGCCTCCCTGATTCCAACCCCAATCACTGGCCAGCTGCCTGCTGGAGACGGCAGTGCACAGCCCTGGATCTGACTCCAGCTGGTGTCAACACGGGGAAGGGCGTACAGGATAGGAGCCCAGGCCCAGGACGGGGCCACACAGCCCACAGGACAGCAGAGCCCATGGCCCCACCTGGGCATGATGCCAGCACGGACCCTGCCCACTGAGCCCCACCCCCTCCATGTCACCCAGGCAGGAGGGAGTGTGGATGGCTGGGCATCCCCTGTCCACAACCAGCACCAAGGTCTGAGCCCAAGGCTGCTGCTGCCAGAAAGAGACATGTGACTCACACAGGCCCCACCTGGGAGGAGGCCCAGAGAGCAGCTGTGTCAGAAGGGCCAGCCCCAAGAGCCAGCCCGGCCCAGCCGCAGAGCAGGCAAGTCCAGGCCCCATGGCACAGGGGTCTGCGGGCCGGGAGCTGGGGTGACCGGGCTGCCCTTAAATGGCACCTTGGGGCGTGGGCATGGCTCAGGGAGGACGCCCGGGCCTGGAAAGGCGGTCGAGCCCAAGGGCGCAGGTACAGGCTCTAAAATGGCCCATGGCAGCTGCCCTGAGGACCACCAGCCCTTAGCCCTGGCTCTGGGGGAACACCGCTCTGCCCTGAAGCTCTCAGGGGTCACATCTTCACCCTCGAGTGTCTGAGAGGTCACGACCCTGTCCTGGAGGCTTGAGGGAGGCGGTGCCTGGCAGGGACGAGGGGTAGGTTCCACATGCAGAGCCTGCCACGCCCACCTGTTGGCTGGGGGCAGTGCTGGGGGACCAGGTGTCTGCCATTTGTGGGTCCTCCTTCACAGCCGCGCCCCATCCCAAGTGGCAGCTCCTGTAGGGCTGGATCAGACCCAGCAGCCTTTCCCGGGCGGGACAGAGGGAACAGCCTCTCAGCGGCGAGCACTAAATTTAACTCAATCTGAGAATCAAATGTGCTCTGATTGTCCTTCAGTGATTCCGCAATAAGCCCTGGCCTGGGCTGGGCAGTCTGCACCTGGGCTGAAGAGGAGCTGGGCGCAGAGGGAGGCAACGTGCAAGGGCCTGGGCCCCTGGAGAGGGGAGGCGGCAGGTGGAGACTCCCTGCTCCCTAACAGAGTCCTGAGAACCCCAGTAACGCCCTTCCTAGGAGCAGCTCCTGCAGCGCTAGATCCAACGGCCTGTAGTGGGAGCCGGGGCGGGGCGCAGGGAGGCGGGGCGTGTGGGAGGCGGGGCG